CCATAGGTGTGTTTTCTGTAGAACTATTAGCCTACCAAGTTTCAATGGCCTGCGCTTCAAATTGGCCAAGATAGCTCTATTTCTATACTTGAACTTTTTAACTGCTCTCAAATAGAATAATAGAATAATAGGCATTTTGAAAAGATATATGGCACATAAAGTGCTGTATATCAAGGAACTTAAACCAGGTCTTTACTCTCAGTCTGACTTAATCAGGACAAAATGGTTTGTCTAAATATTGTTTCCATGATTGTCATTAGAATTTATTTCTTTATCGTGTACATTTTACACTTCTTACATCAATTATTTTGTTTTCAGCAACTTAAAGAAAATAAAATTAACTAATTACAGTACCAGTTAATTAACTATATTAAATTTAACTCAGTCAAACCTCTCTAAAACGGACAGTTTCCTATGTGCCAACAAAATTCTCATACATTTCCTTAAAAAAACCTCTACAATATGGACCCTCGCTAAAACGGATAATGGACACTAAATCTTGGCAGTAAGGAGCAAATTCATACAAATTTAACCTTTTTATTACGGACACTGTGATGACCAGGTGTCGATAATTTGTGGTATGTACCATTTCCTGTCGGCAGTTACACGATCATTGACACTTTATCATTCAGCAAAGGTGGTTTCAAAAGCTCAGTGACTGTATTTCAAACAACGACTTGCGAAGGCTGTCCAGAAGAACATTACCGACTTTTTCAACTCTTAAATTACTACAGCAGGAGGATTTTTTACATATCACTCTAGTTACTGTTCCCTGCACCGGTAAACTATTGCCACACCTTTATTGGAGTTGTACATGTATAATACGGTGTGGTAAGTTCCTAGGTGCAGTATTTTGTTTTGTTCCAAAATTCGTATGTACAGCATTTAACTGAGAAGTACAATAGAGTTAATCAATTTAGATTCAGACATTCACAAGACACTCACTTTTGGGCCTGATTTTAGTTACTAAACACTCTAAACTGTCAGTGGAGACTTAAAAGTGATGTCATCATAGTGACCTCTCCAATATGGACACCTCTCTAATACAGACACTTTGCTCTGTGCCGACGGCGTCCGTATTAGAGAGGTTCGACTGTATTAAGAAAGAAGCAAACAAGGAGACAAAACAAGCAAACAAGAGGGGACAAAGGACAGGGACAAAACTGCACCAAATAAAGTTATTTTAAGCTTTTGGTTGCCGCTGCATGACTGGTCATTAGAATTTATACTATAGTTTTCTTTATGTTTTCTGTTTCATTACTATTGCTTTCTCCATTATTGTCATTTTTTGGGTCACTTTATTATCTTGTTAACTTATATTTATGGTCACATTTAAACAGTTATTTAACTATGAAACTTGACAGTGACATCTTGAAGATGTTGAAATAAAGCTTTTTAGTCTCAAGTATTTTTATATTGTAATACTTTCCACAAGCTTTTCTCATCTGATAATTTAATTATACTCTTTATCATAATATATTGATTGCCAATAGGTTTTACAAATATATTATTTTTGCTTTGGCAATGATGACGACAATGACGATGATGATGATGATGATGATGATGATGATGATGATGATGATGATGTTTGCAGGTGATTGGCATAGGTGCGGGACAACAATCTCGTATTCACTGTACCAGACTGGCAGGTGACAAAGCAAACAATTGGTAAGAATAATTATATAAAACAGTAATTAAACAAAAATAATTAAGTCAACAGGGTTACAGGGTTCTTGTGTGACTTACTGGTCTGTGAAAATTTATATGAACATTATAAGCATGTGCTCATTACAGAATCATACCTATTATAAAATGTCGCACGGGAAAATGCAAATAAGTGAGAGAGGAGACAGAGAGCATGCTTAAGGCCCGTCAATCAAGTAATCCTCACTATACTCGCTCTGACTGCACTCAGTATTGTGTTATAGACCTCTTTAGCTTGGGCAGTTTGTTGCTTTGAAATTTTCAGATTCTTGCTTTCAAATTTTCAAATAGTCGCATGCATATGAATGAATTTTGAAATGGATAAAAGCAAAATGCTCTAGAGAATATCCGTGGTCTGAAATGGGAAAACAAACTGCCCAAGCTGAAGAGGTCTATTTGTTGAAGAAGAACAGAAGTACTTACTGAGTTTTGACAAATATTACTTTAATTTATACTGCCAGCAAACAAAGAAAGATATCAGATAACATTTCAATGTTCTCGAAGAAAAATAGTCACTAAATCGCTATTTACTCTTAATTTATGAATTGATATGTTAACACACTATATAAAACTTTTAGATTAAGTGTGCACTACTTTAAAAAATCTTCTGCAAATTGAAGTTCCTGGATTTGTCTGATATGTTATGTGTTGATCAGTTCTAACTGCTAGTTATTTACGTTCCATGCAAATTTATCAGCTGCTGGCAGGAAAGTGTGAAAGTTGAAATCCCTATTTATTGCAATTGGTAAAGGCATGAAATATCATAGACTGCAGTGTTTGCCATATCTCAATGAAGAACGTTCCTCTGCAAACGATAAAACCTATATTAGTGAGAGAATGGTTCTAATCAATTACGCAATACTGCCATCAAGCAGAGACATGCCATACAGTGTGTCACATTTCAATGTTTTATCAAATTGTTTGATAAAATTGAGCAAAGTGAAATCAGTTGAGTGACATCTTCGAAGTTTCAGAGTCATTTTCACCATGAAAACAAAATGACCAGGTGCACAGGTAACTATTGTTAGCTTATTGCAGTATTACTGCCCAGGTTGCTCTCAGTTTCAAAAACATGGATTTACATGTAATTTTAAGGTGATTCCTCAGTATTGCATTGCGTATCCCTACTGCGCATGATTTTCTCGTCATTAGAGCGAGCGCGTGCATGTACACAATGTAAGAGATTTCCCTCAAGCTAAGCTCGACAGCAAAATAAATGCTCGTTTTCTTTTAAACGAACATGATGACCTATATTTTTTATTGCATAATTTTGGTGTGCAAATGAACCTCTTTAAGTTGAATAATAAAGGAAAAAATTGTTTGGAAGGACAAGTGACCTTGTAGCCTGCAAGCAGGCTCACCTTTGAGTCTCGCGCACGAGCGGCAAAGAACCAAGCGATCTGGTGGGAAGAGTCTGCCCCGTCTCACAGCTTCGCCGCTCGATTTCATGATTTCAGTTACGCCGCGCACGCTTGGGCATGCTTGTGCTCCAACATGAGCCTGCTCGCAGGCTAAGCCTAAGAGCAGAGCTCCTGGGCTGGGTTGTTCAGAGCCGATTAAGCTAAACCAGGATAAGTGAGAATTTTGATTTGAGTTTTGTAACTTTACCGTTAGGTTTTCTGTAATTGTTTGGGCTTCTGTTTTGAGTTTGAATAATCTTAAAATACAGAAATCAAAAGCAGTCAAAACATTTGTATGCAAGAAAAAATGATTATTTGGTTAACATTTAATCCTGGGTTGGCATTAACCGGCTTCTGAACAACTCGCTCGTGGAGACATAAGCATTTTGCTTTAGCAAGCAAGGGACTAGCCTGCGAACATAGACGTATTTGTCTCCGCCGAAAATAACGTCTGCGAACCCGAGCAAGGAAACGGTTTCTGCGACACAATGATTTCTGTTTCTCCTTGGCCAATCAGATTCCATGATAGAATGAAACTCGAGCGGTCCTCACAGCGAATACCTCGCGCAGTAGTTCTGGGGCTACTTGAGCTAAACTGTGATTGGTTTAAAATCCCTTCGTCACAGAAGTCGTCTCAGGCTCGGGTTCGCCGACGTTATTTTCGGCGGAGACAAGTGACAGCCGGAAATACGTCTACGTTCGCAGGCTAGCAAGGGACTGACCCTGGAAAGCTTCACTACTTTAATGGATTGCTGTTTGAGAACAAGGGTTGTGAATGTGGTGGACTATCTCGTGGTCATTAGTTGAATGTCAATAAGGAGATGATGAACTGATGAAAAGCCCAAAAATAATTTTTACATCAGGTTTTACAATGACATTTCCTCTTTCGAAATGCCAGAATTTTAGATGTTTTGATGTTTTACCGGGCACCGAGTCACTAACTTTTGCGTGTTTTTTCACCACACATGGGCGGGCTGTTACTAATTTGTGATTTTTTGGCGGGTTTCAAAAACTATTTCAAGAAAATAGTCCCACCAGGTTTCTAGGCTTACCTGGGCAAAATATGAAGAATTTTGATTCTTCATCATGTGCCACATATTTTCGATTTGGCTGGGTCTTAGTGGACATTCCCTCTTAAGGTCTTGTGAACCATGATTTTTCTTCAGGTTCTTTCTGCAAAAGTTTCTATTTACTTTGATCCTTAGGTGGCTTCGTCAACATCCCAGAGTGCTTGGCATGGTTTTCAAAAAGGTGAATGTTGATTAAATCCATATTGACATTTAAAGACTTGGTAGTAATTTCTAGTAGTATGGGAGGTACAGTTTGTAACGTGTTAGTACTTGAATGTGGAGTTATTTTTTTATTCTTTATAGTGTGTATCTCTTGTGAAGAGAACATAATCTTTGCAATCTGGTGTAATCACAAGGGCATTAGTAACCCTCACATATGTATCCAGGCTGTTATCATTGACAACATTTAGGGTACTAGCAATTACCCTTTTTTTCCTTTCAATGTATTTCCAAATATCAATAACTGCATCCAAGAATTTACTTTTCTTGTTGGAGTAAGATTTTATTTGCCCCGTCTTTTTTTCTTGTAAACCCCCTGAGAAATATTCAAAATATGAAACGATGCAGATAGAGCAAGCCCATCAGAAGTGACTTTTGCAGCTCCCCTTTTTGTGGGGGAGGGGTGGATATAAAATAGAATGGTGCTAAGAGCACAATGATAATTCCATGGTGCAATCGCAATAAGTTTATGTATACACATATACTCATACCATTTATTTCCACAATAGCCTGACAGTCCTTCTCATGATTCCCACCTAATTTCAGCGCACAGAGTCAATTAACAAATGGTAAACGCCATAGCGTGTACTATTGAGTTATGGATGCACGCGGGAGGTTGCTAAGCACGAAAGAAGCGTAAGAGTCGCACGAGGCNACACACTAATTGACTTTGTTTACATACGGTCGGTCGGCAATAACAAAGTAAAAAGACGAATTTTTCCGCGTTTTTGAATAATTAGTAGAAAAATATGCTCTCGTCGTTATGAACTATCAAGGGTTCGGTAAAAGTACTTAAAGAAGTGTTGTATGTAGATTAGTAGATAAGCCAAATGGGCCGGCAAATTGTCGATCGTGACTTGCAGTGTGGTGGGCTCGACTGGCGATCCGCCTTTCGAAATCGAAAAAATATATTTACATCGTAGCCGTGCCAATCGTAGCTAGACTCCGAATCGTATTGCTAGATGCCACAGTTCTTTCACTTAAAAGTCTTGGCCATTTTTGATAAAATATGAAGCACAAATACCCCAAATATGTTTTCACAGCGCTCGAAACCCAGTGAAACGTCTCTTGGGTGTTTTGACCCATGTCCTTCGATGACGTCCCAAGAAGCCCGACCCAGATCCCACTATGCTCGGTAACTGAAATGGAACGTCAATAACTATTGAACTTATCAGAAACAAAAAAAGCATTCCAGCAAATGCATGGTGGGCAGATCTTAAAACAAAACTGATTTAAGCTGTAAACGACCAGAGTGTGAAACAACTGAAGCAAGACACTTTCTCATACTTTAAGGAGTCACAACACGAAAACATTGTTTAAAAGCAATATTTTGTGGTCATTACGCGAACAGTTGCTTCTTTAACAGTGTAGCCCGTCCTTTAAATGTTGAACGTCTTCTGCACTGAGTGTGTGGTTCAGACCAAGGTGGACTGCCTTGGCATCAGAGGTGGGATTTCCGCCTTGTATGGAATTAAAGGGGTAGTATCACGAGAGGTCTTTTAGGTTTTTTGTGCAAACTATGCTAGAATTATAAAGGTGCACTCACTGATCAACAAAATAACCTTAAAACGACAAAACAGGCATAAATTCAATCTCTAAGAGATCAATGATTTTTAGTGATTTTCCTCCAAGTAACATTGTCAAACTTGAAAACGTCAGCGCGACGTTTTCAAGTTTTAGACCACTTCTTTCCTACTCGTCCGTAGCCACAACAGTTGTAAACAGCTTTCGTGACTAGTACGGTGCATTTTAGCAAGGTTAGGCAACTACTAGTGGATTTCCAATTAACACCAACACCTTCATTTGGATTTTCAAGTAGCACTAAATCTTGGTGAGACTACCCCTTTAAGGAAGACATGGTAATGTTTATTTTCGAATGTTTTTTTCCAATGTTGGAGGGAATGAATCCAAACAAAGTCGTGTTCCTTGAGCCTGATACAGAGCGTTTCATCCAGGCGATTACGTGTGTGTTCATCCGGACCAGCCTTCAATTCCTTCCAACATCCTGCACACTCCCTGATTTTGCCTGTAATATTGATTAACTCGAAGGGCACTGTAGTAGTTGACGATACCGTAGGCTTCACGACCTTTATGGATCGTGATGCGAAGAGGATTACTTGAGGCTTCTGCTGTGTATTGTCCACTACTGTCACTTGAAAGAACATCTGCGATAATTCCCTTTGGAGGTGGCTCTGTGTTCGTCACAGATGCCTTTGGATCAGGAGATTTACGTCGGGATCTTGATGCAGCAGGTCGTTTCTTACCAGCACTTGCAATGACGCCAAATGTTGTTAATGCAGTGAGATTTGGTGACCGTTTGTTCCTAACAACCTTGAACTTGGAAAGGAATTCTTGAAGCTGGTTTTTGTAGAAGGCTACTGCAATTACATGCGAACACAGGTTTCTCGTCTTGTACCCAAGACACTCTATCACAAGCAAACATCTCAGAGGCTAACTTCTTCACAGTGTGAGGATTGCTGGAAGATGTGCTTTTAACAAAACGGCTCTGAGAATCAAAACCATCTCTTGATTCGTCGTCGACGAGTTGTGTTGCTTTTGCTGATAGGGCTTGTATGTCTTTTCCAGTGAAATCTCTTTCGCTTGCATACTGTGTCCAATGTCACGAGCTATTCAAACATCGGATTCAATGCTACCACAGTCAGTTCCACTGGCGTCTTCAAGGTCTTCAACATCAAACAGCGTTCGAGGAACTGGTTGATTACTGTGGCTCATTGTGTGTGTCACAACATAAGTTGAAGGAACCTGATCGTCTGCAAGGATATCAACATCACTGTATACTTCGAGATCCTCCAGCTTCTCCAACCCTAAAGATCGAGAGGGAGCATGCCGATACTAATACACTTCTTTGTACTTAACTGGATCAACACTCGGCTTGTCTGCAAAGGCACATTTTCCAGGGTTGCCATCGAAAACGTCTGACTGAGACTGGACATATTCAACGTATTCAAGTCGAACCACGTAGGGACTGTGAATACCAAGGAATGCTCTTTTCACATCATTTCTTTGCTTGCTTACAAGATCCTTTACATCATCGATTGAAAGTCCTGCCACCCCTTTAGTAAGGCATTACCGGACTCCGGGACGTTATTAGTTTGAGCTTCGTCTTCAAAACCCGCATCTCTGGACACCTTTGCTGTCACATGATGCCAGATATTTGATGATTTGTAAACACGATAATAATCTGCAAATGTTGGTGGTTTGGCAGTTTCGGCCAACTCCAAGGCATCCCACTCTGAAATCAACCTCTCAAGCCTGTCTTGGTAAGCTTCCCCTGGGTCTGCTAAGATCAGTCCACCACTTCCAAAGATGTCACCAACAATAACGTCGGTAAGAGTAAGTAGCTCTATTTCAACTCGGGTTGATGAGGCTGATTCGGCCCCTAACAATACAGTCATTCTAATATGCCGAGAAAAATATATAAAAAATATCAAAAAAAACATACATGATCAATTAATGACTAACATTCTAACTATATCAATAAATAAACAATTTATTGATATAGTTAGAATGGGATTGTGAAAGGCGTAACTTCCGACACTTCTCCTTAATGTTCCTTTGTACATGGGTCTTACACAGGAATGACAAGGACCTTTCGAACTCCTATGCAAGAGCTTGCCCAAGGGGCACCTCTGAATCAGTAGAATATCCTTGAAGATGGACCTTGAGGCCAGGAACTTGGGCCGTCAGTTTGTGGAACAGTATGAGGTATGTCAACATATACTTTAACAGAGAAAGCATCATGGGGCCTATCATAAGAGGGCACGTAGGAGGATCTGAAGGTTTGGTAAACACTGTGGTGTTTTTGTACGTCGTCGTGAGAACAAAAAAGGCCCAAGTTGGAATGTGACGTCCACACAGAGTACGGACTTGTGACCGGGAACGTCATTGCAACAAAAGTTCACCAGATTGTCCACTTGATCATTTGTGAACAAAACCACCTTAAGGGAGTCATCATCAAGACCGTAGCATCTTACAAACTTCTCAGTACCACGTTCTGATTCCGTCTTCATTTTCTGTGTGATGTAAAGAATTGGGTCGAGAACTTTTTCATTTGAGGTGTTCTTGAAATAGCTGGCCTGCCTTTCCCCACGAGGTAGAGCTCCCTTGGAATTACAAAACTCTAGCTCCCCCACGGCCTCCTCAACATCATGAACCGCCCTTTTCAAACCACTGTACTGCTTCGCTGCAGTGTCCTTTAGCTTGTAAATGGTACTTCTGTAGGTCTCAAGTAAGGAATTGAACATTTGCTGGAGTTGCCATGCGGTTTAACATTGATAGGATGCTCTTTGGTACCTTCAAAATGATATTTTACAAACACAAGGTTGTGATGGTGACCATCAGGATGGATAATATTGATGACAGTCTAACAAAGACTTCTATCGCTTTTGTTGATGTTAGGTCTGCGGCAAACTTCATAAGAGCCATACAATTTGTCTTCGACTTTCGTCACATCACACACTTCTCCATTAGTCGTAAACTTGACAAGGTACCATTTTGCTCTGGTTTTTGTTTGCTCCCATGCATCAAGGTCATCTGACAACAGATCTTCTGGATCACCCAAGGAATGGAGATCCACAATAAAGGTAACGTTGTTTTGGATGCCCACTGGATTGCTTGACGAAATAATCGACCTATGTGTCTTCGAGGCATTGAGCAGAAGCTTCAGAACTTCATCATTCTCGGCACTTTTAATCACATGAGATGGCACAAAGGGAAGTTCACCACTAAATTTTCTCCGATCCTTATTGGTTGGAATTGATCACGTGACGCGATAGTGTTCATCCGCGGAGAGACACTATCAGCCCATAGTGCCCGTCCGCAGAAAATACGTGGATGGATAGTATTCGTCCGTGAAATTATTTCTGTAAACAAGCGAGCTTCTAGAAAGTAAACAATTGAAATTGTATTCAAAGGGTTTTTGTTTGTTTTTTTCTTTCAAATTTTACATTTGGCTTTCAGGCCTTTCATGTAAAAAAGTTGAAAAATTCAATATGATTTTTGAACTGGCGCACGGAAGAAAATTTAGTGGTGAACAATAAAGACAATAGAGTGTTTATGTCTCGGAACTATCGGTCTGATAGTTGCCCCTTGGAAATTTGATGTTCTTAAAACTAGCATATTTGATCAGTTTAAGAACATCAAATTTCCGCGGGGCAACTATCAACCGATAGTTCCTCGACAGAAACACTCTATTGTTTATACAGAAATCTCCAGCTTAAAATCTAATTCTTTCTCTCCAAGAGCGTAGCATTGCGTGACAAAGAGAAGGCCAGAACTGGACTATGATTAGGATTGGCAATATCTCTTGACTCGATGGGCTATTTTCTGATAGAAAATGTCAGATTGCTTGCCTCGATTTTCCCCCCAAGATCGGCCATCATTGTTGCCTGCCTTTCTCCCAGGGGTTTCTGCGCCCCGAGCCCAAGATGGCATCTTGTGTTGGGCACGAGCGCCTAATTAAACATTAAACCGCCAATGACGGAGAGAACACCCTGGGGACGAGTTTGATCCCTTGCTTGATTCCCGTGCGTGTAAGTAGTTATTATTTTCTTTATAATTGGTAAAATTACAAAATTTGGGCTGGGC